CAGACCTCCTAATAAAGTATTTGAATTGGTTTGTAGATTGTTTTCTTCTTCTTCTGTTCTATATAAAATCTGTGCTTCTTTATATTTAGCTTTAAGCAATTCAACTGTTCTTTTTTTTAAAGATTCAGACATAAAAAAAAGAGATTTATATTGAGGATCCAAAAGCATTGCTAGCATAGCTTCATTGCTAAACACATCCCAATAATACTCTATAGCATTATATAATGCTAATTTTATTCTTGCTTCAAGATTATGACAATTTTGCAGATAATTAATACTGATTCGTTATTGTTGATTTGATATATAGTATTCCTTATCATTTTCACAAATAATATTATCATCAAAAATATCTTTAAAAGAATCGAAGTCAATATCTGAGGTTCTATCAAGTAAAAGCTCCTGTTTAATTACTATAATTGTACTATACATAAAACTAATAGTAGCATATTTGTTATCTCTTAATAGATTAGTAGCCTCAGTGAAAGGTCTTAGAACTGTAATTAATGATAATATTGTATCCTATTCATTATGTGTTAGATTAATTCTTTTTAAATGAAGACTATCTTTTTAGTTTGTATTATCATTATCTAGTACTAAATTTGTTATTATCATATTAATTATATCTTGAATTTTTATAAGCTATTGTTATGAAAGGTAAGATAAATTCCACCTTGTGAAGATGTTAGCTATAATTCGTAATTAACTGTATTATCTTCTAAATTCTAAAATTATTAAATAATTAATCTTTATACTAGTAATTTATATACAAGATAAAATACCTACTATATTTTCAAGTTGATTTAAGTTTTTTTGTATATACCAAGAATGGAGTGATGAAATCACGAAGTGTATAGTTATATGGTGATTTAAATAGCGTTCGTCTACAAAAACTCATGAATAATTAGATAATAAATCGAATGCACTTAAATTTCACAATATTAGATCGGTCATAGTATTAATAGTATAATATAGTTTTAGAAAGTACAGAAAGCTTTATATGTAACATATCGAGTAAGGGCAATCAGTATAAATAATAATTTATCTACAAATATTTTCATCTTAAACATTAAATAGGCTAACTATA